GTGTGTTAGACGATAAATAACTTGCTTTGTCCTTTTAAGCTGTTTATATCTTGCCTGAAGAATCTCTTTGGTAAAAGTTCCCTGAAGAGAGTGACTCCTTGAGGGGGAGGGTTATGTAAGTAATCCAGAATAACAGACAAGAATAATATGATTAGTCATGTAGAAGAGCATTTATACTTTAAAGCACAGGTGCACACTTTAGATGAGTTAGGGGATTTCAGAACATAGTGGACTTTTTTTCAGCAGATTATATATATTTCAGAAAAGTTCCACGTAGGTACAGCATCGAACAAATGATATCTGAATCTGCGTACAGAATCTGACCTCTCTAATGAGCCAAGAAACATGGGAGACAAAACCAGAAGTGTTGGGAAAGCCAATGCTGGGAGAAGGCATTCTGAATACTTACAATCCCAGGATAAGGACATTAGGACAATGCTTCCCAGGAAGCACATACATATCTTCTCATATCTGAGAAGATAATGAAGCAAATGGATCTGGGAAAATTCTTGATCTAATTGACAAATGAATTAGTGAAACAGAATCTAAATTTCAAAGTCTGGCTTGTTGAAAAAGGACTGAGAATGCTGGTGGGAGCTCACAAGGAACACAAATGAATAACTTTTAAAATGACTCTTCTGATTCAAATGCTATAAATAATTGCTGCTTGGTTGTGCTTGAAGAAACACACACACTATATACAATACATAAAAGTCTGAAAGAAACTAGCACGTAAGTTAGAGCAGACATTACCTTGCTAGAATAATTCGCAATAAATTGCAGGACGCTGCATATTAAATTTGTTTCTTAATGCCAATGAGGTAGCTGGAGGACCAGAGAAGCTGAGGAAAGATGGCCTTTACCACTGGTGTCTCAGACCTTGTCCCTCTCTCATGTGCTTGGCATTTTCCTCACAGTTTTTTTTTAAATGTGCTTGCCTAGATGGTAACTTCCAAGGGTGGTAAAACGGTGTTGGAAATAGAGTAAGAACTGTTCTTTTTAGGAAGATAAGAAAATTCATAGCTCTGATCATTCCAGTGTCCTATGGGAGTAAGGGGTAACTCACAAAGGTTAACTTTAATCATAGAATCATAGAATCATTAAGGTTGGAAAAGACCTCAGATCATTGAGTCCAACTGTACACCTAACACTGCCAAGTCCACCACTAAATCATGTCCCTAAGTGCCTCTTCTACACGTCTTTTAAATACCTCCAGGGATGGTGACTCAACCA